ACATACCCCTCCCACAGCTCCAGGCATACTGCCTTTACATATATAACAAATATGTTACAGTAAGACCAAACACGATAAAACTCACGACAAATTGATGCAAATTAGAGAAAAAAATACTATTGTGCATCAACTGCAATTCTCAAGTTGGATTCTTGGAAAGTCTGTACAGTTAAAAAAAAATATAATATTTCCACAATTATCCCACAATTCCATAGCACAACATACAATCATACTACAAATGAGCACAGATAGGCATCAGTTTGTAGAATTTATTATGCATTTCTGCATGCACATGTAGTAATGGAACACTGGTTTAAACACAGCTTTTTAAAACATAGCATTGGTTTTCAAGAAAGCAGCCAAAGACTGTACAGTTTCAATGCTTTGAGCCATGCTGATGAGACATGTTATAAAACTCCTTCACCTTCTTCCCCCCATTCTCACTGTAGAATCTTTGTTTGAAATGTCCTTTACTGTTTGGAAGGAGAGGAGCTCTCACTTTCAGCCATTTTGCAGACATTACATTGGTAGAATGTGTTCCTGGCAGATAATTTCATTCTTTTACAAGCCAGTTATTAGGTAAATGAGGCTTTATGAGCTAAGTAAGATAATAGAATATAGCGCTCACTGTATATGTGAAAATAAACAAAAATATGAAATGTACTTACAATATACCGAGCAGGCTCACTGCTCGGTGAATGGCGTATGGGTGGTATAATCTGCACCTAAGGATTCTTTGCTTCTTAAGAACAGTAAAAAGTAATAAAAACGATGGTGTCAGGTCAGGTATATAAAATAAAATAAAAGGAATATGGCAACTGGAATATAAAGCCAAAAATTCCTTTATTATAACAGAATAAAAAAGTTTCCAGACGTGTTTCACCTCAAAGGCTTCTTCAAGTAGAAACTGGTATATAGTAAGAACATAGACCTGACAGACATGGGTTTATATAGGGAACAGTGATTAAAATGCAATTTTGAAAAATCCCGCCAAAATGACATCATCACTTTACCATGTTAAATATATATATATAATTACGTGATTTTTCCAAATTGCAGAATTTAGACTAAAATAGCCAAGCTAACCAAAACATAAAATTGACCAAATATGGAGGTTCCAAGGCAAAATTATTATACAATAATGGCCAACATTTTGGCACAAAAGGAGCCTTTGTCAAGCTTTTTTCTTGCGCTGAAATGTTCCTCGTCATTGTTAAACAAGTCTTCTTTGAACCCTGAACATGAGTCCAGTTGTGGTTTGCTTGATCTTGGAGAGTAGTCTCCTCCGAGCTGGAAGGACCCTGGTGGTCAATTTTACAAGTGCCATCTGATATTTCTATTTGCAAAATAGCCACGCTGTCACTATTGGACTTAGGATTCCTAATTTGGGCCAATTTGGGCCGATCACCTGTTTGGTTGAAATCTGTATCTCTATAGGGCCATACAGTATAACAATGCAAACCACTAGCATGATAGTCGTAGTTTCATTCGTTACTCTGAGTTCCGCAAGAAGCACCAAAAACAGAATTAAAAAATGATTGGATTGATGGGGAAAAAATATGATTAATGGATAGGGGACAGCACTAAATGTTGATTTTATTCATAGATCAAGTGGAAATGACAAATAGAGGGAAAAAATAAGGAGCAATTAAATATCTATAGTTACAAATCCATAAATACAGAGTTTTTTTTACAGATCCTTCTCTTTTTCCCACTGTTGGTTACTTCTTTTTTTTAGTTGATCTTTGAAATAAATTGCAGGAAAATACGCTTACCTGTGCAGTGATATAAAAATGATGCATAATATAGCATCATTTTTATATTATATCTAAAATTTGGCAGTATACCCATTAGAACATTTTCACTCACTTTCTGGTATATCCGAATGATTCCTTGAATATTTTTGTATAAATGATGTTAGGCCAAACCATCATATGAATGAGCGTTGATATCCCTAACAAGACTTAAATATTATGAAAAATGATTCTGCCAGAACAAACTTTCCCACTGTACACAAATATATTGATTATAGATGAGTTAGGGAATTTTTTCAAATGAGCACTTTTTCCTTCTTTTTGCAATTTGTTTTTAATTGACTACAATTTGAGTTTAGTAAACAAACTCCATGCATACTTTTTCCACTTGAAGAATTTAAACATGCATTAGATCTAATAAAAATTACTTGAAAAAGTAATACATTTACCAAACTTGGCAGGGGGTCAGGTAGTCATTTATAAAAGTACCCTTTGTTCTTCATAAGACGACAGACAAACGTTAATTTAATCAATGTTGCATCTGCTCTTTAAAAAAACAAAAACTAATGTGCCTGATTCTTAACAAGTAAAAGTAACTAAAATTGTATCTTTGTATGTAAAGATTTTAAGAGTAAACAGTATAAAAAATGTATTAAACCCCGATACAGCAATATCTAAACAACTAGTTGCAGGTAATAAAAGATTATTTTCTTATATCATTTTAAATGTATTTATATTAGGTTTGATTTAACGAAGTCATAATTGTATTTTGATCTTAAACATTCATTCACATTCTGGCACCATACCTTGGTCTTTCGACATTATAAACACAGAGGTGCCGTTTTTTATAATTACATTTTCTTATCATGTGTCACATAGCTGGAGGATTTCACTGTTAGACTAGCATTAAGTGTTATTGAAAATGCCATCTGCCGCACTAAATGTAAAACAGACATATCTATTTACCTTCCTTTACCTCAATTTATTCCGCTATGATTGACAATAACATTCTTCTCTTTTTTTTCTCCGTCTACCGGAAAGGGCATAAACCGCGTTAAGCAGCGCAATTTGCTTTTGAGTTTCCCTTCGTGTCTCATTATTCTGTTGTCCCATGCAAATAAGCGCTGCCGTTTAGTCTTAATTATGCAGTGATTTTCATGTATTCAGATACCAGTGTAAGCATTCCTGTACGCTCATTGCAATTAATTTTCTTCTAGGTTTGATGCATCCATAATGTCCGTAGAAACAAACACACTTGTTAGTTTTTGTAAATATTATATTTATTTCTCTTGAATTTAGTGTTGCTTTGTATGTAACCATGGAAACCAAAATAATTATCCCTATTGTTGGGGTGGCTGCTTTAAGAACGTGGGTGATAAAATAAATAAATAAACAACCTTCTTTGCCTGATTATCTATTTTACAGTGTTAGATAAGAGATGGATTTAACATTGTTTCCTACTAAAATGGCACGTTCAGTATTTTTTACTTTCTACTTTTTATAATTGTCTCCTCAATATCCTACTCAGTCATACTGATTGCCAAATGAATCATTTTGTAACTGCAGAAAGAATGTATATGAAAAGTTACATGGAAAGTTTTCAGAATAATTCACGCTTTGGGTAATATACGTGTAGACTGGTGGACATTGTGAAAATTTGACTCGGCCAAAGCATTTTTCCTAAAAACTTAAATTATTCAGGACGCCCAAACTTCATTCGAATGTCCGTTTAGCTTGGTAGAATTTCAGTATTGGAAACCTGTTTGGGGGACGGAATCAGACAAACAAAAAGGGTGTGTAAATGGGTCAATCAGTCTACTGCAACTACACTGATCGACCACTACATTAAAACTACCTGCCTAATATAGGTAAGTTCCCCCAAGTCCTACCAAATCCTCTGATTCGTCGAGGCATGGACTCCACAGGAAATCTAAACCTGTCCTGCTGTATCTGGCACCAAGACTTTAGCAGCAGATCCTTTCAGTCCTACAGGTTGCAAAGTGAGGCCTCCATCGATCAGATTTGATGTTCCAGTACATCCCACACATGCTCAATTGGATTGAGAGCTGGGGAATTTGGAGGCCAAGACAACTCTTTGTCATGTTTCATAAAACATTCCTGAACAATTTTTGCAGTGTTCCAGGGTGCATTATCCTGCTGTCACTTCCATTGCCATGAAGGGGTGCAAGTGGTCTTCATCAATCTCTAGGTAGGTGGTAGATGTCAAAATAACATCCATCAGAATGCCAGGACCCAAGGTTTTCCAGCAGAATATTACTCAGATCATAACACTGCCTCCCTCGATCTGCCTTCTTGTCACTGTGCGTTTTGCTGCCTTCTCTTCCCCAGGTAAATCAGCTCACTGTTCACTTGCTGCCTTATAAATCGCACCCAGGGATCATTACAATGGCAGGTGTCATTGTAATGATATATCGTATATACTCGAGTATAAGACAAGTTTTTCGGCACATTTTTTGTGCTGATAAAGCCCCACTCGTCTTATACTCGAGTGAGTGTCTGTATTATGGCAATTTACATTGCCATAATACAGACAAGGACCGCCGGGCTCCCTTCTCTCTCCTCCAGTCCGGTCAGCTCCCCTGTCAGCTCCCCTGTCAGCTCCCCTGCAAGTCTCGCGAGAGCCACGGGGTCAGAGCGTTGCCCTTCTCTCTCCTCCGGTCCAGTCAGCACCCCCGTCAGCTCCACTGCCACGTGGAGCGTTGCCACGGTAACACGCAGGCCCGGACTGGCCATCGGGCACGGAGGGCAAATGCCCGGTGGGCCGCGGTGGCCGTGGGGCCGAGGCCGGCAGGGGAGGTCCCAGGATCTCCCCTGCCGGTCTATGCTGGGCCGGCACTATCCGAGCGCCGGCCCCGCTGTCTTCCATGGAGGGCCGATGGGGAGATCAAAGATCTCCCTCACCGGCCCATTTAAATAGACCTGCGGCTGGGGAGGGAGAGGACCCGGCGGAGCTCTGTCTTGCAGCTCCGCCGGGTTTCTCTCGCGAGATCCGGAGCGTTGCCATGGCAACGCCCCGATCTCGCGAGAGAGTTCACTCACCACTGGACCACCAGGGATGGTGTGCGAGTGCCGGTGCCCCCCCTCCCAGCTACCACGTGCCTGTCCCCCCCTCCCAGGCTAAAGGTAAGAAGGGAGGGGGGGGGTTTAGTTTTTTTTTTGCTTAGTTTTTATTTTATTTTTTTATATATTTACCCCCACTTAATTTTTTATTTGTTTATTTACCCCCCAACACACAACATTTATACACAGCACTATCACACTCAGCATTCTCAGCACTCACACAACACTCTCACACACATCACACCCAGCACTCTCACACCCAGCACTCTCACACACAGCACACCCAGCACTCTCACACCCAGCACTCTCACACACATCACACGCAGCACTCTCACACACATCACACGCAGCACTTTCACACACATCATAGCACTTTCACACACAGCACTCTCACACACATCACACACAGCACTATCACACCCAGCACTCACAACACACAACACTCTCACACACAGCACTCTCACACACAGCGCAGCACTCTCACACATCATAGCACTCTCACACACATCACACGCAGCACTCTCACACACATCATAGCAGCTCTCACACATCGCAGCACTCTCACACACATCATAGCACTCTCACACACATCATAGCACTCTCACACACAGCACTCTCACACACATCATACACAGCAATCTCACACATCGCAGCACTCTCACACACATCATAGCACTTTCACATAGCACTTTCACACTCAGCACTCTCACACACATCACACAACACTCTCACACTCAGCACTCAGGCACATCACTCTCACACACATCACACTCAGCACTCACACACATCATACACAGCACTATCACACTCAACACTCATACACAGCACTATCACAATCAGCACTCACACACATAACACACAACACTCACACACAGCACTCTCACACATCAGTCTCACACACATCACACATCATACACAGCACTATCACACTCAGCACTCACACACACTAAAACAGACCTTATTACACAATACCACACCATGACCAGCTCACTCTGCACAAACGTAATACCACAAACAGGCTCCAAACACATGCACAATAATCTTTCCTGGCCCTTTTGTCTCCTGGTATCCATTTATAGAGACACCAGAGACAAGTTGCAAGGAAACAGTGCAAGCATGTTATTAAATTTGCTTGCACTGTGCAGAACAAATACAGGGCTTTTTTCTCATGCTAGAGTTCTTCAGCAGAGCTCTGCGCATGGTCTGCCCTGGAAGAGCATTGAACCAACATGCTCACTTTGAGAGGGAGCGTGTTTGTCATGAGTGATGACAAAACACACCCTCTCTGCCCCGCCCCCTTCTTAGTGGGCCGCTGTGATAAAAAAATGCCCGGGCCGAATTTTTTTCCCAGTCCGGCCCTGGTAACACGTGGCAACGCTCTGACCCCGCGGCTCTCGCGAGACTTGCAGGGGAGCTGACCGGACTGGAGGAGAGAGAAGGGAGCTGACAGGAGCTGCAGGAAAGGTAAGTAAACGCTTCCTGCCAGCCCCCTCCTACACAGCCCATCCACTGGACCATTCATACACACACACTGCATTCATACACACACACTGCATTCATACACACACACACACTGCATTCATACACACACTGCATTCATACACACACACACACTGCATTCATTATATACACATACTGTAAATAAATATTCAATTAATATAATTTTTGGGGGTTCTAATTTTATTTAGAAATTTACCAGTAGCTGCTGCATTTCCCACCCTAGTCTTATACTCGAGTCAATAAGTTTTCCAGGTTTTTGGGGGTAAAATTAGGGGTCTCGACTCGAGTATATACGGTAATCAATGTTATTCACCTCACCTGTCAGTGTTGTGGCTGATCAGTGTATATAAATATGATATAGTATGTATATATTTTGCTGTACACCAATAGAAGCATTGCCTTGCCATTTTGTTCACAGATCAAGTGATAAATTGTAAATATGGAGGAAAAAACAATAGGAACAGTAAAAAACTAAAGCAAACTATAATTCTACATTATATATTTATTAAACATATAATATATAAATATAGATTTTTGTTTCACTCCTTGTTCTTTTTCCCTCTATTGGCCACTTCTCAGTTGATCTGTGAATATAATAAACATTTTGTGACTTTCCGTTAGCCACCAATTATCCTTTTTTTCCATCAATCATCTCTTTTTTTTGGCCCCATGGGTGTTTTTCAGAATTACGAACCTGAAATGACAGGCTTGGCATTGTGTGTTTCTGTTGGATCATGATTCGAGTACATTTCCAAGTTTGGGAATTCGACTGATCATCCAATCAAGGATAGTTTGCAATTTGTTCCAAAATAAATCTTCAAGTCTAATATACAGTATAGGTTGTACGTAGTAATTATACATAATGCAGTCTGTTGAATAATCTATTAAAAGTAAAAAAGCACATTTGGGAAATCTGTAAATGTTACAGTTGTAATCAAAATTATTCAACATCCATTGGAAATCAGGTTTATTGTCAAAATGTCAAAATCAAACAATAGCTCAACACAATGAATGCTTCAACTGGTTCCCACAAATTCAACTGAAAATGCAACTTATAATGACTTCTCCTGTCTCAAAATTATTCATCCTCCTGAACAGAATCCTTTACAAAAGTACAAATATACAAAACAGGTGTTGTCTGAAGCACACCTGATGAAACTAACCAAGGGCTTCATTAGTTGCACCAGGTGTGCTTGAGCCAGAATACTTGAAATACTTGAGCTGACTAGGGGTTTGTTGAGTGGCACATTTGACTGCATGTTAGAAATGAGTAAAAAGAATGGTCCACAAAGATAAGAGAAGAGATCATTGCCCTTTATCAACAAGAAACAGGATACAAAAAGATAGCGAAGGCATTGAATTTTTCTAGAGACACCACTGGAAGCATAGTTCACAAGTTCAAAGTTGAAGGAACAGTGGTTACACTACCTGGAAAGGAAAGAAAAAGGAAGCAATCAATGGCTGTGAAAAACCCCTGAGTGACTGCAAAAGACCTGCAGCAAGAATTGGTGAAAATGGACACTGAGATTTCAGTGAGTACAAGAAGGTGTGTACTAAACCTAGAAGGTTTCCATGCCAGAACTACAAGACGTACACAACTCCTGACCAGAAGCACAAGAATAGTTGGCGCCAATACGCTCAGAATCATATAAATAAGTCACTGAAGTTTTGAGATTCTGTTCTGTGGAGCAATGAAACAAAACTGGAACTTTTCGGCCCAATGGATCAGCAGTATGTCTGGAGGGAGAAGAATGAAGTGAAAAGAAAACTATTCCTACAGTTAAAGGATCACTATAGTGTCAGGAAAACAAACTCATTTTCCTGACACTATATAACCCTTAGGTCCCCCCCACCCTCAGGGTCCCCCTCCCACTGGGCTGAAGGGGTTAAAACCCCTTCAGCTACTTACCTTTATCCAGTGCCGGGCTCCCTCAGCGCTGGTGACCTCAATGCTCCCTCAATGCTTTCCTATGGATGTTCTGCACACTAAATGCGATTTTTGCATCCAGCGTCACAGAAGCGCCTCTAGCGGCTGTCAGGAAGATAGCCACTAGAGGCTGGATTAACCCTGCCGTGTAAACATTCTCTGAAACTGCTATGTCTACATCTGAAGGGTTAAAACCTGGGGACTTGGCACCCAGACCACTTCATTGAGAAGTCCCTTTGAGCATGCTAGTGAATCGGTGATGCTCTGGGGCTGTTTTTTATCCTCTGCCACTAGCAAGCTGCAGTGTTTGGAAGGCAAGATGAATTAATTGAAGTTTTGGGAAATCCTAGGAGAAAATGTCATGCCATCTGTGAGGAAGCTGAAGCTTGGGCGTCATTGGACCTTCCAGCAAGCATACCTCAAATTCCACCAAGGCTTGGTTGCAGACGATATCCTGGAAAGTTTTACAGTAGCCATCACAATCACCTGACTTGAATCCCATAGAAAATTTCTGCTGGAATATGAAGAAGGTGGTTGCGGCACATACATCCAAGAATATTACTCAGAAACGTTGCCAGAATCTGATGTCTGGCTGTGCATCTCATTTGTAGCAGGTCATAACAGCAAAAGGGTGCTCTACTAAGTACTAATGATGCTCGCCATGAAGGGATTGAGTAATTTCGAGAAGTCATTATAAGTTGCATTTTCTGTTAAATTTCAGGAAACCCCATGAAGCATTCCTTGCTTTGAGCTATTTGAATTGCTTCTCTTTGATTTGCTCATTGCAAACAGCTGAAAGTCTGAACATTTTGACAATAAACCTAATTTTCAATGGGTGTCAAATCATTCTGATTACAACTGTATGTTCACCTAACTGTGAGTTTATTTACAAATCTTAGACTAAATTATTCTAATTAGTAATGTTCTCTGATGCAGTTATTATTCCATCAACTACGGCTTAAAATTGAAAATTTCCTTGTCACTCTTTCGATACGAGGCCAACTCGATTAATCCACTGTGTAAAATAAATCATGGTATTACAATGTGGGGCACAGCAGTGTCTCCCACACTTTAGGTCTCTGTGTTTAAAGCACTTTTGCGAGAGTAAGGTTAAAATGGAGAATTTTACGCCCATGGTATTTTAAACACCTATCACTGGAGGGTTAGACAATTATTGGAAGGGCAGGCCTGAGCAGGGACTGACCAAAGGGCAAGCTACTGAGATACTCTAAGCTTTTGCCTATTCTCAGAGTTCTCCTATTCTCTGTTTTTGTTGCAATGTGCTTGCTGGGGCTCTTCCTAAGTTAAAAGGGTAATCCAGACGTGGAATTTGTGCTCACTGTGCCTAAATGGGTATTAGCTAAACCTCGCTGACACTCGCTGACAAGGCCCAAAGAAGGCTTGAACGTTCGTTTGTGGTTGCTGTATCTCTTTCCATGATTTTGGTTCTGGAATTCCCCTATTGGATCAGTCTGACATGCAAATGGAATATGTTTGGCACAAGTGAGCAAAAACATTTTTGAGATCTAAGCAAAAACTAAGCAAAGTTTTTGCCCATTCTCAGAGTTTTGTTGCAATACTGTAGCCACTTGCCTGTGAAGAAACTTTAAAACTTTTCTCATGAGGCCTAGATAACAGTGAGGATAATTATTAATATAATAATCACATATATATATATATATATATACACACACACACACACATATATATATATATATATATATATATATATGTATATTTGGCAGTGCAGTGATAAGCTAATTGTGCGCCCTTTCATTGAGCTAATTCAGCTCACATTCGGTCAACATTCGCAATTTCAAGTGTTTGGTTATTTTGAGCATTCGATTGATCATTTTAAATGTTCAGTCTAGCAGATTCCTTCTCTTTCTTTCTTTTTAATGCACAATTCTAATATCAACTAATTGAGCTGTTTACAGGTCACTCAATAAGGTACATTGTT